GGGGATCCTAATACCGCCACCAGTGTGCAGCTCTTTCCGGTTCATAGGGATCCCACCACCGCCACCAGTGTGCAGCTCTTTACAGGTCATGGGGATCCCACTCTGCCACCAGTGTGCAGCTCAGGGATGTAACAACTCCCATGATGGGGGGGAAAATGTGGTACAAAAGATTTTGACCTGGCTCAATACTTTTTTTTATGAAAGAGAACAACATAGTGATTCACACCACACTGTTTGGAAATAAGCCCATAGCCCAATCGATTGAAAAGAAACATCTTTATTGTGTCCATGATTCCTATGTTGGGGTACAAAAGGAGTCCGTCCCCCCCCAAACCACTTCTCACTCAGTCACCTCGGTGCGATGTCCACACTCGCGTCCAGCTGGGTCTCCAGGAGTTCAATCCCCAGCTCCACCTTCCTCATCTTCAGCCTGTAGTAGCCCGTCTGCTCCTGCAGCGACACCGCGGAGAGGCTCCTGCCGCCAGCACTCTGAAAATCCATCGGTGAAGACGGCGCCATTAACGACACCATTCCGTCATGAACACACAAAATCCCATCATGCTTCGCCCTCGTCCAGGCCATTCCGATCACTTGGATCTCTCTATGGACCTGATCACTGGGACTTTGTCTCATGAGGTCTAGAGGTCTTTCCTGCCCTGTTATGATGTTCAAAACCTCAGCAGCCAGAATCCTGACCAGGTCTAGTGCAATTGATCACATTACTCCTATCCTGGAGTCCCTGCACTGGCTTCCGGTCAAATTCCGTGTGGACTTTAAAATCCTCCTGGGCACCTCAGTACCTTGCTGGGATAGCCCTGCAGCCCTATGTGGGAACAACCAGCTGGCAGGTCCACCGACACCGAAGCCTCATGCGATCACACACCATCCAACATGGCTCCCCCTGTACAAGATACCAGGTTGGAACTTACACGGGTGTCAAACTCCTCTGGGTCCAGGATGCCGGCCAGGACTGGGTGACCCTGGATGTGCTCGAGGGCTGCTCCTCTGCGGGGGTGGCGTCCGGAGTCGGGGTCCCCTCCTCCAGTCTGCTCAGACAATGTCGTGTCTGCTCAAATCAGGGCACATTTTCATTTTCACAAGACGACTTTCTCTGGACCCCTGCAGTCCCCAGCTGTAGGTGTTTGGGAACTCCCGTCTCTAAAGATCTAACCCTGTGCTGTGCACACGGACCTGATCGCTCGGCAGCGCCTCTATTTCTTGAGGTGCCTCAAGCATCGGGGGGGCGAACTTCTACTGCTCCACCATCAGGAACGTCCCCAGAGAGAGGGGGAGAGAGGGAGAGGGAGAGGGAGAGAGAGAGGGGGACACTAGACTGTTTACAGTCTAGTGTCCCCCATCACTATACAGGGGCATTACAGCAGGTGTGAGCCTGGTCAGTACCTGGAGGGGAGTCTCCTGGGAAAAACTAAGGTTACTGCTGGGAGAGGTGTGAGTGGGGCCAGCAGGGGGCGCTCTCACCCTGCGGTCCGTGTGGGTCCTAATGCCCCAGTATAGTGACGGGGGACACTGGACTGTAAACGGGCGCAGTCCTTCGGATGAGACGTCAAACCGAGGTCCTGACTCCCTGTGCTCATTAAAAATCCGAGGTCTCTCGAAAAGAGTAGGGGTGTAACCCCGGCGTCCTGGCCAAATTTCCCATGGGCCCTCACCCATCATGGCCTCCTAATAACCCCCCCTCTCTGAACTGGCTCCATCCCTCTGCTCTCCTCCCCACTGAGAGCTGGTGTGTGGTGAGTGTTCTGGCGCACTATGGCTGCCGTCGCATCATCCAGGTGGGG